GCTTGTGCACATGCCCCTTTTGCATTAACTAATGTTGGAGAACAGTATTGTGAGCTTGGCAGGCTGGATTGCTGCCAAGGCTTGTCTGTGCTGGTTTGCTGCCAAGGACCTGTCTGTCTGTTAATAAATTCTGTAATTTATCTTTGGCTTGGAGTGGGACGAGGGGAGTCAGAACACCGAAACATTGTTGGTTGAAGGTCTTGTGACCCATCTTTGTTCCATTTTTATGTGCACTGAAAATATTGTTTTGGTGTCTCTTCCATAGGTATATGTCAACCCTGTATTCTCATCCAGATTTCCCAGTGAAAGGCCCAAAGGAGATAAACGTTGAGTTGAGGAACAGTATTAGTCACACCCCACTGAAGCTACTTACACCACAGAAAGTGAAGCGATACATTGAAGCACTGTGGAAGAAGAAGAGATCCGGCCAGCCCGTGACATTCACGGACATCTTTGGAATGCTGATAGGAGAAACACTGATTCAAAATGTAAGCATCGGTCGAAAGATTTAGGGAATCTGTTTAAATCTTAAGTGCATTTGTCTAAATACAGCTTGATGCATTAGAACGGCTGGCTCTGTAGTAGAAACTGCAGACAACGATGAGAAAACTTCACTGATCACAATTAAACCAATGGTTTGAGTTCTAATTGTAACTGCAACATAATCTAATGTCAATGTGAGTTGGGCTCTGCCTCTCCAGAAAGCTGCAGTAGCTGCCCAATACTTCTAGTACCACTTCATCATAAATATTCAAATGTCAAAAACCTTCAAAAAAACATAATAGGAGAATCTAAATTATCCTAAAGGTCCATAAATCTCAACTTTAGCTAGTATAATCTCTGCTATTTTAGCACATAAAATTAAATAATACCCATTTATATCAGCAATATAACCCGTCGTACATCAGTTGAAAATAGCAGTAGCACTTATATACCACTTCACAATGCTTTACAGCCCTCTCTAAGTGGTTTACAATGTCAGCGTTATTGCTTCCAAAAATCTGGGTCCTCATTTTACTGACCTCGGAAGGATGGAAGGTTGAGTCAACCTTGAGCCATTGAGAATATCCTTTGAGTTCCCTAATATATGAATATTATATTCAGTGCTTTTAATTTTTTATTATAATGAACTTTAACTTTTAATAGATTTATATGCCGCCCAATCCCGTAGGACTCCGGGCGGCTTACAGAAAAAGTTAATAATAATTAGTATTATTTATTGTGAAAGTTATACATAATTGGCACATCCTGCTCTGAGTCTGAAAAAGTAGGAGTGCTTTATAAATAGACCCAGTTATCAACAAGTCCTGATTTTTAACCCGACTGATCAGTAGTAAGAAGGCTTTCTTAGTCTTTATTACAAGATTATTACTTTATAATTTCCATGTAGATAATCTTGTCACATTTTTGGTGTATGTTTAGCTGGTTGATGACCATAATGAAGTAATCTGAAGTATAATCTGTATTTTTTAAAAAAGTAAAACTCTGAGGGGGATAGGTGATTAAAAGTATGAAATATCGTGACCCGTCAAAACCGCGGTAGACAAAACCGCGCTCGACGAAAGCGCGTACCTGACGTCATCAGCAGCGCGATG